AAATATAGCCCATGAAATTTTTAATATGATACAATTTAGAAAATTATGATATCTTTATTGGTTAAAGTAGGATACGCAGAGAAAGAAGACTTCCTTTAAGCGTCAACTTTAAGCACCTATCAATGAAACGCTTATATCTCACGAGTCATTAGACCTACAAAAATGTTGTCAACTAACAAAATGAGTGAAATTTTAAAACAACTATTTTGATAGTTATAAAATTTTTGCTATCTTTAATGGTTAGGGAGATAAACGCGTTTGAAACCTTCTTGAGTGTGCACGCGCTGAGAAACGAGACCTTCTGCTTTCTCTGCGTCGATCTCTCTAACTGTTACAGCTATCAAAAAGTTTGAAACTAGAAACATTTTCAAAATTTCAAGATAAATTCATTTTTCCAGACTTCCCGTCCCAAGGACCTTCCCTTCCGTCACATTCTCACTTCCCTATCTCTCTGGGCATGTTGGATTGCCTCGTTTGGTGACTTAATTACCGTTCAATTAGTGTCCCAATTCAATCCACAATATATGAAAAACTATTTGGATTATGATGTTTTATCATCTGGTTTCTTGGCGGCTCTACCAATTATTTTCCAATTTTTGACCAAATTATCATCGGGTATCATTAGTGATTGGATAACGTAAGTTTTCCTGTGTGTCCATACATCCAGATGTCCTTCTTAGATTTATCAACGAGACTTGGAAGACGAAAATCTTTAACACAATCGCTTTGGCTGTAGCCGCAGGATTTTTCATTATTTTAGCGTTTATTCCCCAGGAAAAACACCTTTTGGCTATCATTATAATGGTAATTTTGCCCTTTTTGGGAAATGCGCTCCATTGAGAATTTTCAGATTTGCGCGGAGAGTGTTATGGGATGCAATACGGCTGGATTCAATAAATGTGCCACATTGCACTCACAGCAATACGCCTATTTTTCAATGCAACAGGTTTATGAAATGACTGAAATCATTTTCAGCCAAAAAAAATTGTTTTTCAGATTATGAATATTTGGGCATGCACAATTTTTATTGAACCATTTTTTGTGAATATGATTGTCAAAGAGAATACGTGAGTTTTTTTTAAATTCTAGAAAATCTGAAAATTCTGATTTTTCAGAATTTCTGAATTCTGGGAATTTTTTAATTTTCGAAAACTCTGGAGCTTCTAAAAACCTGAAGGATTCTGAAATTCTGGAAATTCTGAAAACTCTGGACATTTGAGAATCGGGAAATCTGAAAATCAGAAAATTCTAAAACTTTTTTCTGAATTTCTGAATTTCTGAATTTCTGAATTTCCTGGAATTTCTGAATTTCTGAATTTCCGAATTTCCGAATTTCAGAATTTCAGAATATCTGAATTTCCGAATTTCAGAATTTCAGAATTTCAGAATATCTGAATTTCAGAATTTCAGAATTTCAGAATTTCTGAATTTCTGAATTTCTGAATTTCTGAATTTCTGAATTTCTGAATTTCTGAATTTCTGAATTTCCTGGAACTTCTGAATTTCCGAATTTCCGAATTTCAGAATATCAGAATTTCTGAATTTCTGAATTTCTGAATTTCTGAATTTCTGAATTTTTGAATTTCTGAATTTCTGAATTTCTGAAATTTCTGAATTTCGGAAAGTTTTGAGAATCTGAGAATCGGAAATTTCTGAAAATTCTGAAAATTGTCGAATTTCGGAAATTTCGATTTTTCGGAAATTTTCGTTTCACTTTCTGATTCTGAAAGATTCTAAATTACTGAAAATTTCGAGTTTCCACAAATTCAAACATTTCAAATTCCCGCCAAACTAAAAAAGTTTCAGATTCATCGACTGGCGAAACTGCTTCCTAGCCCATGCGATTCTCCTTCTGACCGTTAATACCGTTTTCTGTATTTTTGCCGACGCATCGCCGGCAAAATGGACGAAATCTACAATTTTAGAATCTGGAAATTTAGAAATTTCTGAAGAAAAAAAACGTTATGATTCAATAGTGAATACGAAGTTGTGAAGAAGAATTGAAAAAAATTTCCATATTTTTTTGATTTGGTCATTTTAGAGGCCAAAAAATAAGGTTTAGACTTTTCCAATCAATCTGAAATTTGGTGAGTAAACTAAACGAAAGTAGAGCTTCATTTTTGTAGTTGGCAACTTTTTTGTGCAAGTGCGCCCTAATGAGATATGGTGCATAGAAGAGGTGGGCCGCGCCGCGCCACCACCTCCCCTTTTCTGGTGCGCGGTTTTGTGCTCTATATCTCATTAGGGCACATTTGCACAAAAAAGTTGTCAACTGAAAAAATGAAGCTTTACTTTCGTTTAGTAACCTCTGAAAATTTTGAATTGATTGAAAAAGTTTGAAGCTAATTTGTGAAAGCGCAAACTCAAAAAAACCCTTGAAAATTCTAAAAAAATACCACTATCTTCGAGCAAATTTATCTCGATTCCTGTAAAAGATTTCAAAAAGTCGTCAATTGATAAAATATTGGTTATATTATGATAAACATTTCATCAGTTGACATGTTTTTGATATCTTTTACAGGAACCTAGATAAATTGGATTGAAGCTAACGCTATGACTAAAAACAATGTTTTTCTTGTCTTCTTGTTGTACATAGTCTAATAACTATTTCAAAAGTTGGTATTATACAAGTTATTCTCTTTTATTTTCTTTTTTAATTATACATATTTATGATTTATTTAATAAATTGTGTCATCATAAAACTAGCCGGCTAGGAATATATACCTGCCTTTTTTATTGGAAAATTCATGGGCTAAAGTTTTTATTCCTATGTGAAAAAAGAGTATTATATTACGTTTTCAAAAGAAAAATGCTGCTGAGATTTCTAATTTTTACCCAGATTTTTTTGATAAAAAATATGGAAATGTGTTTGCCTGGACGGAACAAATGTACCATGAATAATTGTTATATGTGAGTTTTTCATTTAAATTTTTTATTGAATTTTTTTAATGTCGAGAATTAAAAGAATTTTGAAAAAAATCAGAAAAAACTAGGTCACCTAGAAACTATCTAGGTCACGGCCGGAGAAGTAAAACTACCGTAACTCGGCTAATTTTAGCCAGAGCTGATTTTTTTTTGCAAATCTGAATTTTGCACGTTTTAGAGAGAATGAGTATAAACACGACTAGATTTCACATAAATGGCGCTTGTCGCGAAACCTACAGTAACCCGAAAAGTTTAAAAGCGCAGTATCTCAATCAGGAGTGGTCCAAAAAGTTTGAAACTTAAATTTTTGAAATCAGCTCATTACAAGCTTCAAAACAAGTATAAACAAGGCTAGGATTGAACATTTTTCGGATTACTGTAGTTTTCGTGGTGAGACCCAAATTTTTTGAATCGTAGTCATGTTTATACTCATTTTGAAGCCCATGACAAGCTGAAATTATAAAACGCTATTTCAAAATATTTCGAAACAACACTGGCTGAGGTTAAATATTTTGATTTTGTGTTACTGTAGTTTTCGTGATTGGACCTAGCTACTTGTCACCTAGTCATTAGACAAAGTATTCTCGAGTTCCGGAATAGTTCAAGATTAGATAAAACCAGGTCATCTAGAAACTATCTAGGTCATGACCTAGAAAGAATTAGGCCACTTAAAAAACCAAATTCAGGGTTCCTCCATCTCCACCATCCTATGCTATGGCTCCAATGCTCCAAATGTCAGCTCCACCCACTCTTCGAGATTCCTATGCACTGGCTCCACCCCCTCCACCCCCGCCACCTCCCCCATCTCATCATTCCCCATTTATATCCCATAATTCAGTAATGATGGCATCTCAAATACCATTTTTATCCGCTTTGGACCCTCCGATTCCCTCAATTTCGTCATCTGCATTTCCTCAGCCAATCGATAATTCGATAATCGATTCTGATGCGCACAAAAGTCAATACGAAGTGCCACGATGGGATCGTCAAGAGCCGGAATACAAGCATCTAGATGAGACGGACGCCGTCGTTGTGGCTCCAGATGTCATTGTTGCTGATATTGTTGATGAGAAGAGTTCGGATAGTGAGAAAGTGGAAAAAATACATGAAAATGAGAGATTGGCAAGGATGGACTTGAAATATGAGGAGCCGGAGGTGAGGGAAATTTTTTGGAGTCAAATAAGGATGTTTTGAAAATCTGGAATTTCGGAAAATTTCAATTCTTTCAGCCAACACCATTTGAGAACGGGACCGTCATTTTCCATGCTTGGTTTGTTCGGAAATTATGAATTTCTAATTTTTTAAATCAATTTATTTATTTTTTGAATAAAAATACTGAAATTCAGATTACAAAAAACTGAAAAATGATGGGGAAAATGCAAGAATTATGGCACAATTTTGGGAAAAATTCTAGAAAAATTCTAGAATTTACTGACATAATATCCATCTGGAACAGAGATTTGAGAAGAGATTGAGTCTTGGGAGTTTCTGAAAAAAAAATCAAAAATTTCAGGAAATTCAGAAATTTCAGGATATTCAGAAATTCAGAAATTCAGAAATTCAGAAAATATTTTAAAATTTCAGAAATTCGGAAATTTAAAAAAAACTTACATTCAGAATTCCGGAATTTCCATAGTTTCAAAGGTTTTTTTTAGAAAAAAAATTCAGAAATTCCAGGAAATTCAGAAATTCAGAAATTTAGAAATTCAGAAATTCAGAAATTCAGAAATTCAGAAATTCAGAAATTCAGAAACTCAGAAGTTCAGAAATTCAGAAATTCAGAAAATATTTTAAAATTTCAGAAATTCGGAAATTTAAAAAAAACTTACATTCAGAATTCCGGAATTTCCATAGTTTCAAAGGTTTTTTTAGAAAAAAAATTCAGGAATTTGAAAAAAATTGAGAAATTCCAAAAAATTCTGAAATTGTGAAAAAAAAATCTGAAAATCTTAAATTCAGAAAAAAATAATAATTTTTCAAAAAATATTCAGAATTTCCAAAATCTTCAAATTAAAAAAAAATCAATAAATTCAACATTTTCAGATTTTCAGATTTCGAATTATTTCTCAATGTAACTCACTTTTTCAAGACATGACTTCCAAAAAAGCAGACCATCCCAATAGAAGACACAAAAACAAAAAGCACAGCAAACGCCGAAATATAAAATGTCTCGACTGAAATGCACGTCTTCTGAATTCCAAAATTTTGAGCTCCAGAATATTCTTTCGGTGCTCCTGGAGTTTCCAAATCCACTGGTTCCTGATCCATCGGATCCACAAAAAGATCCTCTGAGGAAATATTAAACAATCGATGGGCGAATCGTTTTTCTCTCGCTTCCACATGATTCGATTCGATTTGATATTGCTCATCTTCTGTTATCAAACGAGGCATTGGCTCCGATGGGATCACTGTAGTCTGGTTGGAGTCGTCGATCGGTGGAGATGGCTCTTTCATCCATGGCTCCACGGGAATTCCGTCTGAAAATCAATTTTTTCTGTTACTATCGGTTAAAAACAATTGAAATTGCGTTTTTATACTTTTGCTTGTCAAGAGCTTCAAAATGAGTATAAATATGATCATGTGGGTCCCACCGCAAAAACTACAGTAACCCAAAAAAAAAACTACAGTCAGTTTTGTGTTAAAATCTTTGAAACTGCATTATTTGAGTTTGACTTGTCATGGGCTGGAAAATGAGTATAAACATGACATAGTTTAAAGAAAATTTGGGTCCCATCGCGAAAACTACAGTAACCCGAAAAACTAAAAATGCCATATCTTAGTCAGTTTTCTGTGACTTTTAAGAATGGAGTTTTCGAGTTCAGCTCATAACAAGCTTCAAAATGAGTATAAACATGACTACGATTTAAAAAATTTGGGTCTCACCACGAAAACTACAGCAACCCAAAAAAAATGAAAAGTAGCGTAATACAGTCAGTTTTGTGTTAGAGCTATTGGAAATGCTGTTTTTGAGTTTAGCTCATCAGCTGGTTAAAAACGAGAATAAACGTGACTAGGTTTCATGATATGTTTGGGTTACTGTAGTTTTCGTGGTAAAACCCAATTTTCTGAAACCCAGGCATGTTTATACTCATTTTGAAGCAAACAATTCACAAAATTTTAAAATACAATTTTCAAGTTTTTCGGACCACCCTTAGTCGAGATATTGCGCTTTTCAACTTTTCAGGTTACTGTAGTTTTTGTGATTGGACCCTAATTTTTGAAGCATACTCATGTTTATACTCATTTGGAAGCTCATGACTAGGTAAATGCTATAATCACAGTTTCAAGTGTTCTGACACAACACTGACTGTGATACGGTACTTTTAGTTTTTTGGCTTCTTGTAGTTTTCGTGGTGGAAAAATTAAAAGTAGTCACAGTCAACTTTGTGGCAAACCTTTTGAAAATAAGATTTTTGAATTTAGCTTATTCCGAGCTTTAAAATGAATATAAACAGGACTATGTTTTAAGAAAATTTGGGTCCCAACACGAAAACTACAGTAATCCAAAATTGCAAGCAAACCCGGCCTTGTTTACACTCATTTTGAAGCTTGCAAAGAGCTGATTTCAAAAATTCAAGTTTCAAACTTTCTGGACCACTCCTGATTGAGATACTGGGATTTTAATTAATTCTGGGTTACTGTAGTTTTCGTGGTGGGATTCTAACATATGTAGTCAAGTTTATACTCATTTTGAAATTCTTTTCAAGCCCAATCCATTGTGTTCAAATCCCAACTCACCAAAAGTGTTACCAATCGTATTATCAAATGGTAAAGGTATCTGTCCGGACAATGGGACTTGTGTCAATGGAGTACATGCTGGTGGACTCATTCCTCGACACTCATCGCTTCCCTTATCACATAATTTGATTTGACAAGTGAAAGAAATCGATGGTTGGTCCGGAAATGCGATGGCCTCGACTGCCATATAAGCTGTGGTCAGGGATGGGAGATAGACGACTTGGGGGAAGTCTCGGGACACGGAGCATCTGGAAAATACAGTACTGGCCAAAAAGGTATTCGCAAACGGTTTTTTGAGAGTAACTTTGCTGAAACTTAAGGGATCGATCTGAAAATTTTACTGTGCATGTCGTACACGGTGACGACAAATTGCGTACAAGGAAATTGCATCATTTTCAGAAATTTTTTGTTTTTTTCAATTTTTTCAATTTTTTCGTTTTTTCACTTTTTTCATATTTTTATATTTTTGGATATTATGGTTTCTAAGAATGTTGGTTTTGGCTCCTATGTATTTAAAACTGTTTACAGACATGGCCAGACCCCTCGGAAAAAAAAACATCTCTCAGGACATCCGTAAAGCCATCGTCATCGGCTTCAGAAGTGGATGTTCCAAGGACCTCTTGGCGCAGCAGTTCAATGTTACTAAACGTGCCATCGAGAAGATCTTGAAGCAGTTTCGGGATGAGGTAATATTCAAAAATAGTATAGTTATGGAAAAAAATGTTTAGGGAGCCTTGGCGAAGCGAAAATCGCCTGGAAGACCGCGTATCACGTCGAAGAACATGGATCGGAACATCGTCCGAGTTTCAAGAGAGGATCCCCAGAGGAGTTCTACGGACATTCAGATGGTCGTGAAGACACCAAATGAAGTCACACCATCCCTGAGAACCGTCAGAAGACGTCTTCAAGATGCTGGACTCCATGGACGACGGCCAGCTAAGAAACCATCGATCAGCAAGAAGAACAGAATCGCCCGCGTAGCATGGGCCAGAGCTCATCTCCACTGGGGACGTCAGGATTGGGCTAATCACGTGTTCAGCGACGAATCCAAGTTCAATCTGTTCGGTACTGACGGTATCAAGTGGATTCGCCGTCCGGTTGGATGTCGGTTCGATCCCAGCTACCAGCTCCAAACCGTCAAGCATGGAGGTGGATCGGTGATGGTCTGGGGCTGCTTCTCTGGGACTTCAATCGGCCCGCTGAGAAGAATTACAAGCATCATGGATCGCTTTGTGTATGAAGACATCTTGGAGAACACAATGAGACCCTGGGCAAGGTCTACTGTGGGCCGGGCGTTCGTTTTCCAACAGGATAACGACCCGAAGCACACCTCGAAGCACATCAAGGAGTGGTTCCGACGCCGCCACGTGGATCTTCTGGACTGGCCAAGTCAATCTCCGGACTTGAATCCGATCGAACACCTCTGGGAGCATGTCGAGAGACAGCTTAGAGGGGTTCGTGCCTCGAATGCCAACCAGAAGTTCGACCAACTCCAAGATGTCTGGCAGGCCATCCCGATGTCTGTCATCGACACCCTTCTCGACTCGATGCCAAGAAGATGTCAAACGGTAATCGACGCCAAAGGCTTCCCAACGAAGTACTAAAGCTATTTTATTCATTTTCTATTATTATTTTTCGTTTACCGGTCTATCCTAGATCTCAGAAGTCAAAGTTCCATTTACCGGTTTTTTGCAATTTTCATGAATTTTTCGATTTTTTTTCAATTTTTTGAAATTTTGACTATTCTTGTTGTTGAATCAGTTTCTTTTACCGTTTTAAACTTTGTCTTAAAATATCAGATCGATCCCTTAAGTTTCAGCAAAGTTACTCTCAAAAAACCGTTTGCGAATACCTTTTTGGCCAGTACTGTATACTCATTTGAAAGCTCAGCAAAAAGTTTAATTCAAAAATCTAAATTTTTTTGAAATTTGGGTAAAGAATAACCGAGATATGGTCGTTTGAAAAGTAGCTCTGTCGGTCAGCGGGATTTGTGAGCGCGTACAAAAAGAGCTGAGCTTCCAACTATGTCGTCTTTATACTCATTTGAAAGCTCAAATCAAGCTGAATTCGAAAATTTAAATTTTATACAATTTGGTTGGGAAATATTCGAGATATGGGCATTTTAAAAATGGCTCCCACTTAAAGGCACATAGGGTAAAGTACCGCGTTTGCCACCGCGTAGCTGATCCACACACTTTGGCTTGTTTATACTCATTCGAAAGCTCGAAAAAAGCTTAATTTATAATTTTACATTCCATGGAATCGGCTCAAAAACACCCAAGATACCATTGTTTGAAAAATAGCTCTCACTAACTAAATATAAAAGACGCAAAGGGTGAAAAAACCGATTTTGCGACTGCTTAGCTGAGCTTCAAGCTATGTCTTGTTTATACTCATTTTAAAGCTCAAAAAGTGCGAAATTCAAAAATTTTTATTTCACAAAACCTAGATAGCAGGTAACCGAGATATGGTCATTTGAAAAATAGCTCCCACTGAAAGGCGTATAAGGTAAAATAACGCGTTTGCAGCTGAACCTAAAGCTATATCTTGTTTATACTCATTTGAAAGCTAGAAAAACACCTAATTCAAAAATATTAAAGCGAAAAGTTCGGTCCGGACATTATCGAGATATGATAATTGGAAAAAAATGCCTCTGACTACTCACCCATTCTCATCCAACAACGGAACCGACTCAACACCTCGTGAATCCAAAATCGAGCATCCTCTCAACAGAATCCCATAATTTCCACTTGTATCACAATCCCATCGATGGACCACTGTCATCCCAACTCGTGTGTTTGTGACTTTTGGTCCTTCAAAAGTTCCTTCTCTTAAGGAATATGAGCATTGAGGGACAATGGTGACACTTTGTTCGAAGGATTCTTCAGGGATCGAGCTGGAAGTTTAAAGGTTTAAAAATGTAATTTTTCAGTGCAGCTCGTCATGAGCTTCAAAATGAATGAAAAACAAAATTAGCGTATTTCAGTCAGTTTTGTGTTAAAATCCTAGAAAAAGCAGTTCCCGTGTTAAACTTGTGATGCGCTTTAAAATGAGGATAAACAAGACTATGTGGGTCCCACCGCGAAAACTACAGTAACCCGAAAAACTTTTAAACCTAGCCTTGTTTATACTCATTTTGAAGCTGCTGACATGCTGAGCTTAAAAACTGCATTATCGAAGGGTTTGACACAAAACTGACTGTAGTACAATACTTTTAAAGTTTTGTGTTACTGTAGTTTTCACACTATGACCCAATTATAAGGAATCTAGCCGTGTTTATACTCATTTCAAAGCTTGTGACGAGCTGAACTCAAAACACTTAATGAGATTTGTTTTAAATTGAAATTGACTGAGAAACGCTCGGTATACTCACCTAACTGCCAAATCCGCCTTCACAACACTCTCACTGTGTGCATAAAAACATCGAATATTGAAGGTCCGGTCTTCTTTTGTTGTGAAAAGTGGATGAAAGTTGGCGACAAATGTGATATGCTGATTAACGCCACGTGGCAAATGTCCACTGATCTGGCGGGATCTTCTCATCCCACAATCACCTAGACGAACTGATAACGAAGCGCCGGATTGATTAGGAGCATCGAATCGACGACGACAACCTGTGGAACTGTAGTATCCACGGACATAGACGTTTCCTCTGAAGAAAAACACTTCTTTTTCATTATCACAATAAATAATGCGAAATTATCATTTTAGGGGAATTTGATAAAATTTAAGAGGGTACAAAAGCGCTTAGTAGGGTGGTACCAGGGATGAGAACTCGGAAAATGAGAACTGCTACATATGAGAACTAGACAAATAAGAACTCGTTTTCCGGCTCTAATTTCAGGCTCAGGATCCAACCTTTTTGAAAAATATTTTCGAAATGGTCTCGTTCTTCACAATACTTCAAGATTTACCAAAAAAATCCGTGTTTGCCAT